TCACACACGGTGATTCCGACAGAGGTCTGTGTTCTTATCGTAAGCATCACATTCACTTCAAAGTCAGTTCTGTCAAGTGAAATAACAGCTAAACTGACCTGGAGTAGGCCATTCTTGTAATAACTTGAGCTACCTAGAGGAGATTTAAGAGCTTCTACCGGGTTACCCATTTGTCTTGTCTTAGGGAAAGTGTGTGTGTGGAGAGAGGGAGGCTTTCTAACCACTGGATTCTGGAGTCCAGCATACTAAGTTGAAGTCTTTATATCGCCATTTTAGAACTGTGTGATCTTTAGGTACTTGGTTTTTTTCTTGAAACTTCTGTAAAATGCTTCTGTGAAATGTATTGTTGAAAAGATTAAGTACAGTCATCCCTAGACTGTATTGACTCCAGGACCTCCGTGTATACCAAAACCTCCACAAGGAGTCCTCAACTCCTTCAGTCAGTCCTGCAAACCCGCCTATATGAAACGTTGGCCCTCCATATTCTCATTTGGTTAAAGAAATCTGTAAAGGGCACCTGCGTAGTTCCAGCCCATGTTGTTCAAAGGTCAGCTGTAGATTGAATTATTGAATATGAAGCACTCAGTGTGGGAATTGGCTGAAAGTAATTCCTCACTAAATGTTATTGATTGTCATTTGTAGCTCTTAAAGTAGATGTCACAAATTCCATACACTTTACAGGAAAACTCCTAAAACTCTCACATATGACTTATGTTTACATCCAACAAAATTCTAGGAGGTCGTGTTATCCCAGTTCACATAAAACGAGAGCAGTGCTTGCTATAAGAGGGACACACTGACCGGAGTATGACTTCACAGCTGACAGCGAGCAGAGAGATGGGAAGATACACAAGAGCAGGCAGAGCCCCCTAAAAAGCCTGGTGGCCTTTTAACTGTATTAGGCCATTACCATCTCTAAATACTTTGTAGCACTTAGTGCAGTAATTGATGGGAAAACAACCTGAGTCATTGTAATGGTGGAGTTAGCAGAAAACGATGTGTAGAAAGGCAGATAAATGTCTTAAACATTTTAGAAAGATTTCCATAGAATGTAAGAAATTATAATTTTAGGGCTAAAAGGGAAGATTTCGGTTATATGGAAACTTTCTATGTTCTTTGGCAAGGCATTATTTTTCTAATAGCTTACCAGTTATAGGCAAAGGGCTTCCAGCAGCAAAGCTCAGCCTCAAATATAGGCTGAAATCTCCTTCAGATACTGAAAGCCTTATGAAAATATTTGGAAGATGTAACTGTGGGCTTGAATAACACTCTGAAATTTGATTTTTTTTTTCAGTTAATAGTTACTGAGCACTGACTGTCTCAAGCAAAATTCTAAGTACCTAACTCATTTAATCCTAACATCAGTATAAGAAAGGGATAATAGCATTATCTTCTATTTCACAGGTAGGAACACTGAGGCATAGAGAAGTGAAGCAACTCTTCCAAGCTCACACAGCTTAGAAGTGGATTTTAAACAGGGTAGCCCTGCTCCTAACTCTTAACCACTGTGATAGTTGTAAGGTCCACCTTCAAAGGAGTAATTTTTTTTTTTTTTACTTTTTTTGAGACAGAGTCTCACTCTGTTGCCCGGGCTAAAGTGCCGTGGCATCAGCCTAGCTCACAGCAAACCTCAAACTCCTGGGCTCAAGCGATCCTTCTGCCTCAGCCTCCTGAGTAGCTGGGACTACAGTCATGTCCCACCATGCCCGGCTAATTTTTTCTATATATTTTTAGTTGGCCGATTAATTTTTTTCTATTTTTTAGGAGAGACAAGGTCTTGCTCTTGCTCAGGCTGATCTCAAACTCCTGACCTCAAACAATCCACCCGCCTTGGCCTCCCAGAGTGCTAGGATTACAGGCCTGAGCCACCACACCCGGCCAAAGGGAATAATTTTAATTGCAGTAGGTAGTGTGACAATGAAGAAAGATGCATTGATATAAAACATGAATTATTTTTCTTTAATGCTTGTAGAGCCCTAGACATTCTCATTAATTCTAATAAATTAGCTGATACAGCCCATATGTAGTTGATGCTGGCAGTTGCTAATAATGGAATCAGTGAGCCTCAGTGTAACTTCAGTGAAGTACAAAAAGTTGAACACACAAGGCTATTTGGATGCAGATCAGTAAAATAAATCAGAAGGATGTGAACATCAAAGGAATGTTAAAATATTCAATGTTTTCCACTTAATCATGAATTCTTTATATGTCAGAATGTTTTATGTGCTGTCCTGCATATCAGGAATACTTTCTTAAACTTAGACTTTGTCAACTTAAACAAGAGCTTTTGCATTTGTTCTGAAATTGATCTCTGAAGCTTTCTTTCACCCTGAGGGAAAGAATGTTCACCCAGAGTACAGCAGATAATATGTTGTGGTAGACTAGTTCATAGTTTATAACTTCTCCCCAACAGAGACAAAACCAGTCAAATAAAGCTTAAATGTGACGAGTGGAGTTAGTGTTTATCTTGATGGCAGGGTTATGTACTTTTTGTCACGTCTTTCTCCCATCAGCGTTTCTGATGATGCCCCCAATCAATGAAATGGTGCCAAATGGTCCTTTAATGGTTTTTCACTAAGAATTAGTGAACTCTAATCCTCTTCTCCCCAAAGGTAACTGCCATCCAAATCCTGTGTCTATTAGGATTTATTGCATACACAGTGTTCTTAGCCACTGATTTGGGGGCCTGCCAAATGCTTACTAAGTACTCTAATGTGTTGAGAAGGAAGCATTATAGATCTCTCAGAAGTAGCGGAAGCTCCAGCAGACCAGACATCCACCATTGAACATATTTATCAATTGTCAGCATAACAGAAATAAACCCGGGAACTTTTTTTATGCACAGGACTTCTAACCAAGAGCTGTTAAGTCATGCAGATATATACGTTAGCTTGGGCTTTTTATTTTTTTCTAATTGAGGAGAGATTATTGAAGAGACTATCTGCCAAGGTATGTACATGGTTGAGGGGATCCAACAAGGTCTGGTGAAATACTGGGTGCTGGAGACAGCTCGGAGCCACTCCCGAATTCCGAACGAGCAAGAAGAGGATGGAGTTACGCAGAACCCAGAGGGAAAGGGCTCTAAGGCTACCTGTGAAAGAACTGTGGACTTTGGCAGAGGAATGCAGCAGCCACTGGCAGGGAAGGAGCCAGGGGGATAAATATCCGGACCTCACTGTCGTCGTTGCTGGTACAGTTTGTTGTGTGCTGTTCTGGTGGACTGCGGGGCTATTTACAAAAAGTTATGTGTTATACAACTTAGTATGTTCACTTGGGTAATTCAGTAAGTTAAATTTTCTACCACCTAAGCCTGTGTCTGATAGCAGCTAAGGAGCATCAGTAAGCTACACGAAGGCTGGCCATGAGTAAGTGGGGTAATAACACTGCTATGATGGGCTTACATTCCAAGATGCATACACTAGAATGTTTGTAGCATTGCAAGAAGGTGATCACTGTGTAAGAATCTAAAATAAAAAGGAACCTTTACTTCACTTTGTAATCAAGAAGAGGTTTCTGCTAAATGTAGATTTGAATTCTGGTCGTACATTTACTAGCTTTCATTCATTTGTTCAGCAAATATTAAGCGTTTCCTCTATGCTGACACAGTTGTTCTAGGCATTTAAGGATAGAGGAGTGAAAAAACAAACAGGATGCCTACCATTAGGTGGGGAGATGGCTGATGCATAAGTAAACAAGCAACATAAATTCAGATAGTGACAAGTAAAACAAGGTAATGTCCCTCTCTAGGGACAAGGATGGGCAGAGGAGTGTCTGGGGAGATGACATTTGAGCCGAGAATGTAGCATATTTCTTCACAGCTTGGGGAGGGTTGAGGGGGAGCGCAAGCAGTGGGCAGAGCAAAGGGTAAGGGAGGGGAAAGAGTGCTAGCAGATGAAGTCTGTATTGTTAAAGTCATGTGAAACCATTGGAGGACTTTAAGAAGAGAAGTGATTAGATTTCTGTGTTTGGGATCTCTCTGGCTGCTTGGTGGAGCTTGGATTATTAAGAAGTGAAACTGGACACTAAATTTAGATGGATTAGCCTAGGATAGAGGCAGTGGAAACAGAAAAATATAGGGATACAGTATATATGACAGAATATGAGGGCCTCTTATTTTCCTAATGACATTAAAAAAAAATTTTGTTAACTCCATTAAATCTTTAGAGATAGGGATAGTCAATGTTCAGTGGATTTTTAATTTATTATTTTAGTTAAGCATATGCATATTCTATTATTAATTTTAAAACATTACTTTTTTATTCACATTTCATTTTAAAATGTTTTTTGGTCTTTCTCATCTCTGGAGCTACTTTTTAGATTTTTTTTTTAGATTTTTTTGGAGCTACTTTTTAACTCATCTGATTTTTCCAAAGCAGATCATCTTCACTTCCACGCCCTTTGTGGGAGAGAAAGCAGTTTTGAATTCATGTCTGGTGCTCTTATTGGACATTTTTTCAAGCCTACAAGTACTGTGAGGATATGGGTTAAGTTAATGTAACAAAGAGATACCAAAATACAGAGGTTAGAATCAGACACATGTTTATTTGTCTGTTGCAGAGTAGCACCTGGGTATTTTGGTGATCTAAGCTGACAGGCAGCTATTCCACTGAAACACTCAGCTTCCCCTTGTGGAACCAAGTTGGCTGTCATCTGCCAGGCAGAAGGAAGGAGGAAAGGGCTGGGGAGAGAGCACTCAGTCAGTCTTTTTTTTTTTTTTTGAAACATTCTCACTCTTTTGCCCGGGCTAGAGTGTCGTGGTGTCAGCCTAGCTCACAGCAACCTCAAATTCATGGGCTCAAGCAATCCTTCTGTCTCAGCCTCCCGAGTAGCTGGAACTACAGACATGTGCCACCATGCCCAACTAATTTTTTCCATATATATTTTTAGTTGGCCAATTAATTTATTTCTATTTTTAGTAGAGACGAGGTCTTGATCTTGCTCAGGCTGACTTCGAGTCAGCTCAGGCTGATTTTGAACTCCTGACCTTGAGCAATCCACCAGCCTCGGCCTCCCAGAGTGCTAGGATTATAGGCGTGAGCCACCGTGCCCAGCCCAGTCAGTCATTTTAAGGTCAGGATGAAGAAGTGGCATATGTCATTTTCAGTTATATCTTAGGGTATCTTAGTCAAGTAGACACTTGTTATTATGGAAAAGGGGGAGAATGGAAGTGGACATTAATGAAAAACTAGCAGGCTATCACAACATCTGCTGTATAGCATGGGGAGAGCTGGTTTTTCTGTCATCCTGTGGTTGTATATGAATGTCCTTCACTATCCAAAGCTATTCAGTTCCTGAGTTCAGATAGCAAGGAATATAGGTTTTTGATGTTGCTACAACTTAGCCACTGACCGTTTTACAATTGAAAGAATGTGATCAATACAAGGCTGGAGGAGTCATAGCATAGGAATAATTATAAAATCTATTTTTGAATTTGTCTCCTTCATTTTAAACAATCCCATCAGTTGACCTCTGAAGACAGCCAAAATGAGCACTTACTGAGGCCAATTCAGATGGATGTGTCTTTCTCAAATGGCACTTTGGGTTGAGAGAAGGTAATTATAAGAAAGCCCTATAATAACAGGCTCTGAAAAGACTCTAGTATAAGGAGATTTCTTCTTTTCTGAGAGGTAATTGCAGGAGGAGAGGTCCCCCATCTTGTATTTAGACATTGAGATAGAGTGGACCAGGTCACCTGCAGAGCAGTGGGGGGAAGGGGAGTTAGTGGAGGAGGAGTTTATTTGGTGATGTAAGGAAATGTTCTCTCTTTTTCTTTAACTGTGATATGGGGAAATAATTAATACTTAGCTTTTTCATAATGCTGTGAGAATCAAAAGATGTTAGTTATATGGCAGAGTCGACACTGAGAGGTAATTATGCACATCCTTTATCTTTGCAAAAATCAGTGTCAGCATTTGGCAGAATCTATGTTCATACTGACAATATTTGCCTAGCATATAGTATGTGCTTAATAAATGATCACTTTCATTATTGTTATAAAATGGGAAATGAAGAAAGTTTAGAAATAGCATAACTTTAAGGCATTTTAATGTCTATTCACCATCTCATCCATGTTACTCCTATTTTATTATGGATGCCTCCTTAGTAATAATTATTCTGATATAAGAGAAATAATAATTATTCTGATATTAAGCTTTGGTGGAAGCTTAATAAACGTATTTTCTCTGAGCAGGCTCCTGTTTGGAAGGAATATGCCTACAGCTTTCCCAGAGAGCCCTACAGTCCATTTTCTCCCCTCAAAACAACCAATCTTCCCTGTTCTTCTCTCCCAGGCAGTGCAGTGAAGTGTCTTGCATATTTAAATAGCTGGAATCCATGGAGTACACCAAGCATTTTCCTCAAAATGTCACATATTTGCCATTAAATTTAGGGCCATGTGGGGCTTTAATGTAAATTCTTGCTTGCCCATTGGGATCATATAATCAATGTGGAGAGATTCTGTATGTTTTGCCCCAATATTGTCAAAGGATTAGCCTCGACTGTTGTGTAGGCATTTACTTCTATTTGACAATTTGGTATTTCTTCAAATGCTTTGTGTCCATTCATGAGGGCGATGGTTTCATTTGAAATGCTGCAGTCACCAGGGAGAAGGCCCTGAGCTCTTCCCTGATAGGCTGGCCTTCCCTCTGCCTCCTGTTGCTATGGTGCCCAGCAGAGTAACTTCCTTGCCCTGCACATGCAGGAGGCTCGGTCTCCATGGATACCCCACCCTGAGACTGTACTCTACTGAGAGATGAGCTGCACACACTGTATTTCTGCAAAAGACATACCCCAGCCTGTGGTGGGAAGCTGTTTGCAGAGGCAGTGTTTGCCATGAAAGTCTATGAAGCTTACCTTCTAAGTAAGTAGTTTTAGTCACAGTAAGTAAATGATTATATTGGATCACATAGTCTATGCTGTGTGTGTGTGTGTGTGTGTGTGTGTGTGTGCACATGTGTGTTGTAAGTTGTGAAAGGCCAAAAATGTAGCTAAAAAACAAGTTTTCATCTCCACTTCTCAGATATTCTAGCTGCAAGGTCTAAAACCAAACTTCAAAAAAATACACACATGTATTGTTTTCTATACTCCTTGTCATCTGTGAGTCTGTTTGTGCAATTCCAATGCCAAAATGAGTAAGATTGCAAATGAACAGTTACATTTTAGAATGCTCTGCTAACTCTGAGTATTGCACGTTGCATTTGTTGATGCAAAGCCTGGCCTTACCAGTGTTGTGCTGTGGAAATAGGCTAGCACAGTCACAATTAATGCTAATTGGCACTGCATATAGTTTGCAATGGGCCTCTGTGTAGGCTGAGATGCAGTGTATTTATTATCAAGAGAGAGACGGCGCATGTGATTAGGAAAGAGAATACCCATGCCTGCTCACCATGAAAATTATTCAAAGCACATATCTCTGACCAATTTTAATTTAATTTTCTCAGATGGCATCCAGTAGAAATTCTGCATCTCTTCATGTCTATGGGATTGAAATACGTAATTTTGATTTTGTGTTTTTTTTCTTTCTTTCTTTTTCTTTCTTTTTTTTTTTTTTTAGAGAGAAGGTATTGCTCTATTGCCTGGGCTAGAGTGCAGTGGCATCATCATAGCTCACTGCAACCTCAAACACCTAGGCTCAAGCAATCCTCTTGCTTCAGCCTTCCAAGTAGCCAGAACTACAGGCATGTACCATCCCACTTGGCTAGTTTTTTTAATTGTTTTATGGAGACAGGGTCTAGCTATTTCATAGGCTGGTCTCGAACTCCTGGCCTTAAATGATCCTCATGCTTCAGCTCTCAAAGTGCTAGGATTACAGGCATGAGCCACCCACTGGAATATTTTTTTATGAACTGATTTGACCTAATACTTCCTCTTTACTGTACATTCCAAGAGTGTAAGGGTTGAGTTTGCAATGTTGTAAAACATATGAGTCATCTGAAAGTGTTTTCCTCTGCTAGGCAAATGATTAATGCCTATGGTGTTAAAATTAATTAGTAGAAACAAAAGAAAGACTATGCATGTGATAACTCCAACTCTAATTCAATAACTTTAAAATTATATAAAAGTAAGATTTTTAGACTTAAAAAGCTGGCATCCAGCAACTGTAACCAGAAATCAGAACAGACACTCTGTTGGTATAAGAGAGATTCATTTTTAATCATATGAAAGAGTAAGCACAGAGTGTTATACTAGATTGTAAATTTATTTTCTGAGACAACTGTTCAGGCAAAGGGAAAACTGTTTTGATGTCATCTTTTCCAACGGTTAGTCATGGCTAAATTTTAATTGCCCCAAATGGTGAAAAGGTACCACCCTTTGTGAATGGGAACATACTGAGGACTACTCTGTCCTTAACTTTGTCACTAGGTTCAAGCTTTAGGTCATTGCCTTAATATTTTATAAATACAAGTTCTATCAGTAGATGGAGCAGCAGATAAAAATAGGTGCATGATAAATTCTGTAGAGATCATAATTTTAGAGACCTGAAAACCATGTGGATGACACTTTCCCCTTAAATTTTTTAATTGTACTTAATAGTACAAGGCTCCATATCTCTTCCTCAATGTGTCTGTGATGAATTTCCCTGCCCATCTCTGAAAATCATCATAGTGTGGGATTTGTCAACCTCAAAATATCTGAATCTCCTCTGTAAAACTGTTCTTTCATCTGTATGGCAGATATAAAAAGAGTACCTATCACATAAGGCTGTTTTGAAAATGCAATGACAAAATCAATAGCACATGGCATACAAGAAATACTTGCTGCTATTATGATTACTGTAAGTATTATCATCATCATTTTTTATAATGCCCAGTAGTCAGGAGAGACATTAGCTAACAGCTTGAGCAATTCTTTGGTTTGATTCCATTCAGCCTATCAAATTTCTTGTCAAATACTTACTAAGAACCTACCATGTGCTTGAAATTTTGGTTGGAATTATGGGATTTAATGTACATAAGAATATAGCTAACAAGGAATGAAATATGCAGTAGGTTTTTCTTCTTTTCAAATGTGTGGTTTTATGTTTTGCTAAATGGCTATACAGATACGTAATAAAATGTTTGCCAATTAATTTTGTTGCTACTAACACAATGGATATGTATGATAATAAATACTAGCATAAGTCTAGTTAATACTTAGAACTTGAATTTAAAATGTGACAATTAAAATCTCGGTTCAAATATTAAGGTCACTTCCTTTCCCAAAAGGATTTCCATTCAGAGTACAGTAAATAACATATTGAAAAAAAGAACAATTCTCATTAAGTTGAAAGTTTGGGGAATGATTGGAGAGGAGGAGATGGGAAATGATTGATTAATCTGTATAAAAATAGGCCCCATGCTGGGAATTTTCCTTTTGCACTAATCCTGTATGACATCTGAGCCAAAAATAATTATATAAAACCAATGCCATATGTGCAGGGCCTACTAGTGCTTATTTTAAAATGCATGAAGAGTTGACCCAGATTATGTTTTGCAGCTTTATTTTTATTTTAATGTCACTTTAATTTCTACTTCTTTTTGGCATATTCTCTTCTTTCCATCTGTTTTCCCTGGAAAGAAGGTGGCATATGCAACAAGGACTAAACCAACTCACTTTATGGGAAACTGGGGACATTTGTAGGATGTAGTTTAAAAACTTCGAGAGATTGGGAGCTTGGAATCTATGTATGTCCAAACATGCTGAATATATTTTGCTAAACAGAATTTCAGATGTAGTTTCACTCAAATGACCTAGCTAAAATAAGCCTTCTATTGTAAAGTTTCAGGGCAAAAATTAAATCCTGAGCAACATGCCCACCAGCATAGTGACCTTTTACTTATATTCTTCTAGGCTGTGACCAAAATAATGCCCTACTTTCTTTTCCATTGTTATCAGTCATGCATGTGCGTGCCATGATGGTGCCCAATTTGTCAAGTGTTTGTTAGGTACTTGGTGCTGCTGTCATGATTTGTGGGTCATATCTAGGGAGCTTTTTGAGATCTCAGTCGACAGTTCTATTTATTACAGCCTTTTTCATCAGGGGAGTTTGTGGGCCCGTTTCAGAGGAGGGGATACTCCCTTGTCTTGTGTAGTAGCAACATTATTCAGGGAAACTGGATCTTCCTGAGTCTTTGGCTTCTTGTACTCACCTCTGAGGCTGAGATAGGCAGGCTCTGCAAACCTCTGCCAAGAAGATCTGATTTCTCTGAGACTACTGCCGGCTTGACTGTTCTTGAGAGGTGGAGGCTGTGCCTGAACCTGATACTGGCTTACTGCCTGAAATCTAATGCTTTTTTCCCTCACAGTTAGTGGAAGAAGTGAAAGATCCAAGCTAAGAAGCCCTAGTGTATATGGAGTGATGGTTTAGGACCTGCAGATTGTGCCTCCTATACTACCAAGCCCAGAGAACCAGGGACAGTAAAGAGGTTTTGCCCATGCAAAACTGGGTCATTCTTGAATTTTGGATAGGATTCTCCAATTTAGCATTTCTACCTTTCCTTTTCTCATCAGTCTCAGCCACTATTTAACAGAACTGAACCCAGTAATCTTACTCATTTGTTTTTTTCAACAAATGTTTTTTGATATGCTAGGCAGTGACAGGCAGTGGGATACAACTGTAAGCTAGGGGGTCCCTATGTATTGTGGTATGTTTCCGGAGAAATTACAGTCCCATGATAGCCCTGAGGATCATGTAGCTTAGACTGTTAGGGTCTGCAAAGGATTCCAGGGATGTGATGCAATATTTACTCTTACAAAGGGTAAAACTGGATTTTTGAGTGCAAGGACAGTTGGGGATTTGAATGTTACATGCAACTGTAACTAACTGAAGTATATGTATGCCCTTAGAGATGGTTTCTTAAAAAATGTTTTATGGTTATGGTCACCATGCTATATTTAATAATTATTTTTTAGATGGTTCTTTCCTTTGCTAGGATAGGAACCTTTCTAGAACTAGGACCATATTTTTTTTCTTTTCCTTTCTTCCTTCCTTCTCTTTCTCTCTCTTTCTCATAATCATTTCATTATCTTTTGTTCTAAATGCTTTTTCGCTGCTTCCCTTATTTCTTTTTAAATATTACATATAATTTGATACATAAGAAGAATGTATATGACAGATATGTGAGCTAGGTAGCATAAGAAAGCCAACACTTGTGATCGCACTTTTCACTTTCAGAATTACCACTGAAGCTGTCTGCGTGCTCCTCCCAGATCTCGTTCTCTGCCTTCTCTTGGATACACTGTACTGAAATGTGTGTTTTATCATTTCCTTGCACTTTAAAAGTAATTTTACCATCTTAGATAGGCATCCCTTAAAATATACTGAAACACAAGGATAAATTTTTAAAGTCCTGCAGCCATATCTTCTTTGTCCTTGTGTTCTCCATCATTAGCACAGTTCCTAGAACTCAGTAGGTCCTCAGTAGATGTTTGTGACCGAACGGACATGACAGAGCCTGGAAGACATTTTTGTGATTCTGTATGCCAAGGTGGTACTGAAACTCAGCTTTATCGAGTTTGTTCCTTTTGAGCCTTATTAGTTTTGTCTTATTAGGGTGCTTGTAAATAAATGCAGGATACAGAAACTAGCTACATAGGATTTAATTATTTGGGGGCATTTTTAAACTGCCCTTTCTAAAGCCAGCTTCTTCTCTTCTCTTTACTTCCATGCAAAAACTCTCCAGTGGTCCTCAGGAGAGTGGGCTTGATTTTTTTGTAATGCTCTGTTTAGCTTTTCCATTCTATTTTGTTTTTTCACAGAACATTGTGGGAGTGTGGGGGAAAAGGGTGTAGAAAGTAGAGAACATTGAGTACACTTGAATTTAAAAGTTAACTTGTATAGGGGGTGGGACAAAGTAGCTGGGCAAGTGAAGGGTTGGCCTG